CAGCTGTTAATGCACAATTACCATTTTAGATCGACAAACTGTACTGTATAAGATTTCTATTCAAACTGAAAGCATAAATCTAGGCTAACGTTTTCAAAGCACAATGCAAAACTGTGACATTTCATTCACTGACGCTCTACAATCGGCAGCGCTAAACTCGGAAGCGCATATACTTACTTGCCGGCAACCCACCAAAATAAAAACTTGCTGATTTCAAGTTTGAAAATGAAAAATTTAAATAATTCAAATTAAAAATAATAAAAATATTAGCATTTTATTTTTAAGTTTACTATAAAATAATTGTATTTGTATTTAATACTCCCTTTTTATTTTAAAATAAAATAGTATTATCACACTTTATTATTTAGTTTATTATTTTATTGAAAAAAAATAAATAAATAAAGTGCAATAATATTATCACTATTATTAATTTATTTTTTGATAGTTATATTTGATGGGTCACACCATGTGCCGCCGTGTGAGGACCAAACCAAATCTCCAGGTTCTCATGAGAACCAGGCTGAAAAACTTATGTGCACTCCTGATTATAATCAGTAATTATGTCTCCACTGGATGCAACAAATGCCTCGTTTATAATGGGTTTTAATGTTTTTGTCTCGTCGCTCCGGCTGGGACACGGCATCACAATATGGTAAGGGGCGTAACATTTCCATCACATTGCTTGAGGCATTCAGCCAATCACAACGCACTGGATAGCTGGCCAATCAGAGCACAACTCGCTTCCTCAGAACGATGAGCTTTGTAAAAATCGACACGTTTCAGAAAGGCGGGGCATAGAGGAGCAACAATAATGTACAGTATGTGGAAAATAATGTGTTTTTTTAACCTTAAACCGCATACACATTGCATTACACCAAATACACAAAATAATGTTATTTTTAGCAACGTCATATGACCCCTTTAAGAACAGTTCACTAAAAAGTTTTTTGGGAAACATAAAATTATTTATTTAGGGATCGCTGTAAAGCCCCTTTTGTTTTTAAGAGTGTAGAATCTGTTTTTATTGTCTAGTGGTAGATACTGTCTCGCAACAGAAACAAGCTGATCAGTTCTAAATCCAGGAGATGTTTTGAAAGACTCTTGTTTTGTTTTTCAACCTTGTTTACTACAGAGTCCAGATGAAGACCAGGCCATGTCAGAAAAGTTCAAGACACAATCGTGTTCAACAGCAGAGCAGATGTCTGAGGTTCCACCACTGTAGGCAGTGGTATGTGCGGAAATTAATTTAGACTGTTTCAATGTTCCGAGATTCTGTAGTAATGAGATTACATTTTGGTATATTGGTATTGGTCATCTGTTACCTGAAATCTAATGGTTTAAAGTAAATTATAGTTCAGTAGTTATCAATTATTTAAATATGTATTTTTCATTCTAGCTGCCTCAGAAGAGAGCAAAGAGAAAAATTACTCAACATCCTTTGAAGAAAAGCATGTAAGTTAGATTAAAAGTGAAAGATCTTGTTCTTATCAATTAATCTAAAAGATTGTTTTCTAAAAAATGGCATCCAGTGTCAGCATTACAGCATAACTTCTGAAACATACCTACAAATTAAGGTCAATTAGGTGCCATGTCAAATTTAAATGCTAATGTAATTCTTAATTAAATCTGTCTTCACACTTTTCCAATCAGGAGAGTTCCCAGGGTGATCTTGACCACACGTCAGCTACACTAAGCCGAATGTCTAGAAAATCAACAGACAGGTTTGTGAATTTGTTTAATACCTCATGCTGTATATGTGCATGTGGTGGACTTCTGAAGGAGGCAAAGTCTCCTCTCTTATTTAAAGTGTAAAATCATGTTCCATTTGATGTTTACCCCACATTTGCATGAGGATGTTACAGCATACTTACAGGAATAGTTCACAAAGAAAAATGTCATTGTTTACTCGTGTTGTTCCAAACCCAAACTTTCGTTCATCTTCGAAACACAGTTGAAGATATTTGTAATGAAACCTGAGAGAGTTCTGAGCTTTCTAAAGACTGTTTAAAATCCATATGAATTTAGTGAGAAGTTTAATTTTTGGAAGAACATTACATTAAAGCTGCAGTCCGTAAGTTTTGCCTCTTTGTCGCCATCTCTGTTTGAAAACCTGGAATTGCAGCTGAGTGCGGAATTATCTAGCTTGCATGGGTTGTGAGTCGCACGGCTCCAGCGCGGATGAATCTAATGTTCTGAAGAGTATGGGTGGCAGTCAGTGACCGCACCGGTGTGGATATTTACTGTACTTCGCAATCACAGATTCCAGCCTACGTCTTGGAATATGCAGGGTGTCCGCGAGTCCTTAAAAAGTCTTAAAATGTCTTAACATTTTCCTAATATAAGGCCTTAAAAAGTCTTAAAATGTCTTCAATTCGGATTCGATGGGTCTTAATTATTTTTGGTCTCATTACCGCTAAAATATCTTCAGTCTGACGGACATAATGACTTTACAATCATTGGACAGACCGAAGATTTTTTCTTCCCCGCGGTAAATTACTGCGTCATCAGAGAGAATTGCAATAAGTTAGCAGAATACAGAATACAAGCTCGTGCTGCTGAGGCTCACTCTGTTTGTCTCGAGACCTCAGAACAAATGAGCGTGACCGCACACATAAACTCAGAAGAAACACACTGAGGTAAAAATTCTAAATGTTTAGTTCTCCTCACGTGCGATAGCCTAGTAGCCGGGACAACTTCTTTATGTTTACAGACGTGTTGTAATGACGCAGTGCCATGCTCGAATTTCCCGCGAAAACCTACCCGTACCGTAGAAAACATTATTATAAGCTAACTGTTGTGAATCGGGCTAAAGTACGGCGATAGTTTTGAACACTGGCTGGTTATGTACTTGCTCAAATATTGATTTCGGATCATTTTTAACAAAAAAAAGTTACGGACTGCAGCTTTAACATACTTTTATTCAAACTGGGTCATGAAAATCTCCACTACATGAAAATCTCACCATGTTTATGCATTTTTTAACACTTCTGTTAACTATTTTCTCAAGTTAAGCTTTTTCTATCTTGCCTTCTTGGAGGTACATATTTTTTATATGATAAAATAGTTTTTACTTGGTCACTGGTATGCGTGTTCATGATTTTAATCATGTAATTTTTTTATGCTTTAATGAGTAAAACATCACTTAGCGCACAATTAACATAATAGTGTTACTCAAATGCATCAAACATTGAAAACTCAAAGAACAATATCTTTTGGACATTAGACCTTCAAGCTCTCAGTCATCCAGTTCCAGAAAATCCAAGAGCTCCTATACAGCAGAGTCTAAATACCTGGGAACATTGAAGGTTTTAGATCGGAGGACACAGGAGACCCAAGAGGTTCCAGAAGCAGCAGATTCACTAAGAGCTGCTGTGTACCAGGTTAGACTAATCATTTACTGTAATCATAATATTTAAGGAATTAAATCATATTAAGTTAATAATTAAGTTATGTCAAGAGACTGACCTATGATTTAAAAAACCCTTTTAATGTATCTAAAAAGGAATGGCTAAAAAAGAAAGAAGAAACTTTAAAAATAACAAGGAAGGCTAAAAAGCAGGAAGAGAAATTAAAAGAGGAGAAGATGCTAGAGGTAAGATAAATCAAATGCTTAATTGAATTCTTTAGTAACAACAATCCTGGAATGATTTATTAAATATTTATCATTTCTCTTCTAGGAAAAGTTTGCTAAAATTTCAGATGCAAAGGTCTCTTATGATGCCTGGAAAGAGAAAAAAAGTGAAGTCATCAAAAAGAAAGTAAAAGAAAACCAGGAGGCAATCAAGCAACAACAAATGGAAATGGATAAAAAGCAAGAAAAAAAGGAAACAGCAAAACAGGTCAGTATTTTTCATTGGTAATAATTCAAATTTGGTTTATTAGCAAGAAAAAAGGAAACAGCATGTTTCGTTGTTTATTAGAAATTGTTTTCATATTAGAAATGCAGTAAATATTTTACTATATTAAAGATATTAGAGATTTGTTATTATTATTAAAAAATATATATATTTTTTATTTATCCACTGCACATGAGGTCCACAACACTAGAACAGATTATGTTGTTTGTGAATGTGGTTTGCTGTACTGGATAGTAAACTGCGTTGCAGCATTGTGAACCCTTTACTAAAAGTCTTTTGAAACAGACACTTGTGGAGATATTCAGTTTCTCACTTCTGTTTGAACTAGCATTCCCTTGCCACCATGCCCGTTGAGGCAGAATCCCATCTCTGCTTTAAATCACACCATTACTAAACTGGATATTATATCTTTGCTTTCAAAGCATTTTAGATTCAGCATTTTAGCCATATTCAGAACTGTCATGTCTTTTTTTTGTGATGTCTGCAGGGCTTTCAGGTCTGCAGTCTTTAAGCTTATCATTAGTTCCCTTTCAGATGGTCACTCCGAGTCAAGTCGGTGACCGACGAATTGGGATCTCGCTTAGAGAGACCAATCCACTTCGAGTGTAAACTAAACGAGCCAATGCACATTGGCATGCGATGATTATATCCAGCTGCTGCTGATCGCAGCACAAGTATAACTAGGCAGCAGGTGCAACGCATACTCAGCTTTTCGCATTGGAGCCGAGCGATCACATCATTTTGCTCCTGACTACTCTACTGAGAGAAGAAGGCTGAACGAGTTCAGCGCACTCTTTGGAGGTCTTGGTGCTGGCGGTGCTTCAGCGGTGGTGGTTTCCCGTGTCAAGTGGGTTGCACACATCAGGCTGCACTACCCCCTATTTGTGTTGCAGGCGGCCATCTCGCTTGTGTGCTTCAGCACACTAAAAGAGCTTTTTCCCTAAAAGAGCATTCACTGGTGCGTCTTTTTATAAGGGGTCATATGATGCTGCTAAAAAGAACATTATTTGGTGTATTTGGTGTAATGAAATGTGTTTATGCGGTTTAAGGTTAAAAAAACACATTACTTTCCACATACTGTACAAAGGAAAAATTCAAATCGCATCATATGACCCCTTTAAAGACGACATTGCGTCTTGCTATAGACAACGTATCACCCGTGCATTTCTGGATGCGTTTTGTTACCTGGCGCCAGGTGATGGTCACGATCACTGCCTCATGTGCCTGGGCATTAAGCACGCTGTGGTGGCATTCATGGATGAGTCATGTTCTCATTGCAGGAAGATGATCATCTCGGAGTTGTGGGCCAGGCTCCGTTACCTCGAAAGGGGTGGAGCTCCATTACTTCTGCCTCGATCTGGTTCTCGTCCTGGCTGCAGCCTGGTGAGCACCAATTCAGGCAGTGACACGGGTGGTCTGAGGGTTACAGTGGTGGCAAACCCTCCAGGGAACCAACCCTCGAGGGACCATCGCTCCTCTTGCACTGCGCAACCAGTTGAGCTGCCAATGGAACATGCTGGGCCCTCTACGAGCATACCATCAGTATCCTTTGGCGCTCCTCCCATCGACCAAATGTCGCTTGCTGCATCGGAGGGTGAGCCGGAGCTTTCTGGAGAGGTAGATTCGGCTGTGCTGCCGGTCTCCGGGCGGAGGTAATGCCTGAAACGGATCCGGAAATGATGGCTATGCTTTCCCGGGCTGCCGAGAGGGTAGGGCTCGAGTGGAGACCTCCACCGTGTCCCGAGCCCTCGAGGTTGGATGACTGGTTTCTTGGTGTAGCTTGCGCTGGTTCTCAGCGCCCTGTTCTGGTGCCTTTCTTCCCGGAGGTGCATAGGGAGCTTACCAAGTCGTGGATGGCACCTTTAATTGCCAGAAACCGACTTGCTAGCTCCTCCTCCCTCACCACCCTCGACAGTGGTGCAGCTAGGTGTTATACGGGGGTCCCCCCAGTGGAGCGGTCGGTTACGATGCAGTTGTGGCCTCCACCTCCACCTGGCAGGGCAAACTATGCCTCCCCTCCCAGGCCTGTAGGTACTCGTCTGGTCGGTCCGGCGATGCTTATGCGGCCTGTGGAGAAGCTGCCTCCACCTTACACGCTACGGCGTTACTGCAGGTTCTTCAGGCTACAGCACTGAGGGACCTGCACGAGGATGGTCACAATCCAGAAGTTCTGAAAGAACTCCGAACCGCAACTGACCTTGCATTCCAAGTGACGAAGGTCACCGAAAGTTCTCTGAGTCGTGCGATGTCCACACTTGTGGTCCAGGAGCGTCACCTCTGGCTGTGTCTGGTCAACATGAGGGATGCCGACAAAGTTCAGTTCCTCAAGGTCCCTATGTCCCAGACCGGCCTCTTCGCCGATGCAGTCGAGAACATGGCCCAGCAGTTCTCGGCTACACAGGAGCAGACTGAGGCGATCCGACACTGCTGCGGCTGCTGCCTCCACCCGTCCGCCGGTAGCAGCGCCCCAGCTTGCTCATTGCCGAGGGTGGCCCCCTGCTTCCGCTCCCGCATTGCATCCGCAGCCACCTCCAGCCAAGCAGTGCCATAGAGATGGTAAATGCACCTCTTCTTCCCCCGGAGGAGGGCCAGGTGGAGAATCTTTTTTCCAAAAATCTTGACAAGAGAGCAGTTTTCTCTGTCTCTGGGTCCCAAGAGGGCATGGAGAGTCATGGACGGACCAACACCGGACCACACTCATCCTCCTCTCTCGCCAGCAGGCAGCAGCGGGCGGTTCGAGAGCTTCATCAAAGGACCTACTCAAGCACCCTCTGCCAAATGGTGGAACCGCACACTCAGACCCCTCTTTGGCCCACCCACAAGCCGGGTCCCTGCGTTCCACCTTGCTGCCCCACTGCGGGTACGTCGGTGGTCCCACTGGTCCTGCTTGTACAGTGTTTGGGTACCTGGTAGCACTACCCAGCCTATCTCGCTGGCTCCTGCGGACCATCTGACTCACGCAGAAGTGCCTCTTTGGGTGCATCCATCCCCGAGATTGCTTTGCAGCAATTGACCTGAAGGCACGTACTTTCGATCGCGTACGTTTCGATCCTTCCGCGCCACAGACCTTTCCTGCAGTTCGCGTTCGAAGGACAAGCATATCAATACAAGGTCCTGCCCTTCGGGCTGTCCCTGTCGCCCCGTGTCTTCACAAAAGTTGCGGAGGCAGCCCTTGATCCCCTGAGAGAGCAGGGCATTCGCATTCTCAACTACCTCGACGACTGGCTCATACTAACTCAGTCTTAGGATCAGTTGTGTGAACACAGGGACTTAGTGCTCTCACACCTCAGCCGGTTGGGCCTTCGGGTCAAATGGGAAAAGAGCAAACTCTCCCCGATGCAGAGGATCTCTTTTCTCGGAATGGAGTTGGATTCGGTTGAACAGACAGCCCGCCTTACGCAGGAATGTGCTCAGTCGGTGTTGAACTGCCTCAATATGTTCAAGAGCAGGATGGCGCTTCAACACTGGCTCCATAGCCGAGTCCATACGACGGGCATAAAGTGTCAAGGGTTTGGACGGGCCCCCAACTGCACTGGCACATCAACTCTCTAGAGTTGTTAGCACCACGCCTTGCCTTGAACCGTCTCAGAGGGTGCTTACAAGGCAAGCATCATTCGACAACACTGTGACTGTTGCATACATCAACCGACAAGGTGGTCTACGCTCCCGTCGCATGCCGCAACTTGCTCGCCACCTCCTCCTCTGGAGTCAGAAGCATCTGAGGTCGCTTCATGCCATTCACATTCCGGGTCTGCATAACAGTGCAGCCGACGAGCTGTCACGAGCTGCGCTCCCCGGAGAATGGTTCCCAGAACTAATGCTCCTCGTGACAGCCCCTCCCTGGTAGATAGCTCTGAGGAAGGATCTACTGACTCTGAGAAGGGGCACCCTGTGGCACCCGCATCCAGACCTCTGAAAACTTCATGTCTGGTCCCTGGATGGGACGCGGAGGTTCTAGGTGACCTACCCCAGAAGGTAGTTGACACCATCACTTCGGCGAGAGCACCATCTACAAGACACACTTACGCCTTGAAGTGGAAACTGCTTGTCGAGTGGTGTTCTTCTCACCGAGAAGACCCCCAAAGATGCCCGATCAGAGTCGTGCTGTCCTTTTTGCAGCAGGGGTTGGAGCGAAGGCTGACTCCCTCCACACTTAAAGTCTATGTTTTTGTGATTGCTGCTAACCATGACCCCATGGAAGGGAAGTCGGTAGGGAAGCATGACCTGGTCATCAGATTCCTTAAGGGGGTGAGAAAGTTAATTCCTCCCCGACCCCCCTCTATGCCCTCTTGGGACCTGACTCAAATCACTACAGCAGGGCCCATTTGAGCCTTTGCAGTCAGTTGAGCTGAAGTTTCTTTCAATTAAATCTCTGCTCCTGCTTGCACTGGCATCCATCCAGAGGGTAGGGGAGCTGCACACATTTCCGGTTAACAAATCGTGCCTAGAGTTTGGGCCGGCTAACTCCCAGGTAGTCCTGAGGCCCAGGCCCAGCTATGTGCCCAAGGTTCCCACTACTCCCTTCAGGGATCACTGGGATCCCAGTGTTATGGCCCACTGGATAGTGGATGCCATCACCCTGGCTTATCAGGCACAGGTTGTGCCCAGTCCGCTCAGAATGCGAGCTCACTCTACTAGAAGTGTTGCATCCTCCTGGGCGCTGGCTCGTGGTGCATCGCTGACAGATATTTGTAAAGCTGTGAGCTGGGCGACCCCCAACACATTCACTAGATTCTATAGCCTTCGTGTGGAGCCGGTATCCTCCTGTGTTCTCACCTCAAACGGGTAGAAGCACTGAGAGGAGAGGAGGCCCCTGTTTAGTGTCGGCTTGCTAAAACCGCTCCAGAGAGTCCATACTGTAGACCCTTGTCAAGCTCCTCCATCCCTTCGGCAGCCAGATGTGGCGGAACGTCCGGCACCAGGCCCTCACTCGATGAATCTGTGAGAACCGGTAGAGGGCTGGGTTCCATATGTAAAGACCTAAGGGGATCCCATATGTGTAAAGTCCACGGTATAGCCTCAGAGCCTGTGTTTCCCCGGCAGACTTTCTGCCATTTTCCAAGAGGGTTACAATCACCTCTAATCTTCCATATGCACCTAAACGGTTGTTCATATGTGTAAGTGATTCCGAAACCTCCTTCGGGAAGAATGGGGCTTCCTCAACGTTCCAGTTCCAAGTGGAACGGGTACCTTTTCCCAGTGTTATCCAATCTCATTGAGTGAGATTAAAATATCACTTCTTAATATTTAGTCTAAAATGTGTTTTAATGTCACTATTGTTGAGGAATGCATGATCTTTGAATAATATCGGCCTTAATGAAAGATATTTGAAGTGTACCTGTTGTATACGTGCAATATCTCAACTTTAGCACAATCAAATATACTTCAGGAGGCTATATCTTTAGTTGGACCTCAGCTAGGGCTGGGCAATTTTCCAGATTTTATCGATTCATTCGAATTTAATGTTTTGCCACGATTTTATTTGTAGAAATCGAGGAATCGCGATTTTGATTAGAAATATTACCAAATGTTAGAATTAGACACTTTGACAATATGCCGGTGATAACAGTAAAGAGAAAAGAACTATCCAACCGCATGTTGGCGCACGTGATTAACCGCTCACGTGTGACGCGCTCTGTGAAGGACCATATATATAGCGCTAAGCACCATTCCACAGAATGTGCTTTTGTGTTGACAAAGATGCAACGTGGGCAGTGGAGTAGGGCTGTCAAAAAAATTTCGAATTTCGAATATTCATCAAATTAAAAAAAAAAATCCACTTTCGAATGCAAAAACGTTGCATTCGAATTTTAGGTCTGCGTCAGCCGTCAGGCAGCCTATCAGTGGTGCACGAAATGTGACGACGATCTAAGTGTCATTGCATTTTAATGCTTTTGTTAGCCTATCCAGTTGAACCCACTAGATGCGGCGCTGCTACATTGTTCATTCAATATATTGCGGAAAACGAGAGCATCAGTGTGGAGAAGATGTTGTTTACATCAAAACTGAAACCAAGCCGTTCACACAGAACACATATTTATCACATTTTCTAGAGGGACATCTATCAGCATTGCACTCGCGTCTGGCACAAGAGAGCGGCATGTTTAGAAAGCCATGTAAAATTAATGTAAGTTCAACTTTTAAAAAACATGTCTCAAGACTTTATGGCGGTTTTTCCCCATCCCACTGTATCTCATGATTTTAAATGAAGAAAGTAGCCTACTCTTTGTGATTGGTTTTCGGTCCTTTGTATTAAACTATACATACATGCATGGTGCTGGTTTTTTTCACATTTTTTAAGCAACTTTATTAATTATATATGGTTTATAAACATTATTTTAAACATTATGCACTTTTTTTTCAAAATAGTCGTGTTATTTTATTACGTAGAAAATTCGAATTTAGTTTTTCAGTCATTTTGACAGCCGTACAGTGGAGTAGGTAAAACATGCAAGAAGATGGGAGTGAACTTCTTTTAACTTGAGCGCAGTGTTTTTAGAATGGCGTTTCATGCATGAGACACTGCAAAAGACGCGATCGCAACAGTCAAACACATCCATGTTTACACAGAAAAAACAATGGAAAAGCAGCACAATCGAATAAAAAAACCTGTAAAGAACTACTACTGTATGACTGATATTTCATGTTTGCATCATGATGACAGGCTAACAGCTGCTGTTCGTTGTTTTTACAGAACATGTATAGTTAATAATAGTCTACTGGTGTTATACCTTCAGTCATTTAGAATTTTAATTACCTTGACTTTTGAGATTTTTTAAAAGCATTTTCCCCTCGCATTATTTCTGAACACATAATATGTATAAGACAAGTTTGTTCAATATGTAGTTGTAGTTTATGCATCTTTTCTGCAAAGATATTTAACAAGTGATTTGTTTAACATTTACATCATGTTGACAACTTCATGTGTGCTGCACTTGGAATAGAATTTTCTTTAACTAAAGGGTTAATAAAGAAAAAGTTACTTGAATCATGTTCTAGTTACATTTTCAAGTTGACTAGTTAAAAATCATTAAAAAAATCGAGAATCGGTCAAACATTCCGGAAAAATCGAGATAAATTTTTTGCCTAACCTCAGCACTACTTCCACACAATTAAAGTGCATTAAGTACAAAATTAGTTGTTCCAATTTAGCAGACTTTAAGTATACCAGTTTAGTATATACCAAAAGTGCAGTTACAGGGTATTTTTATTAAGTACATTAATATGTAAATGTATTTGTAGTATACTTGGCATAAAATAAATGTATTTCAAATACATTTTTGTATATTTATTTTTCACTAGGGTAGATACAATATATACTGCTAAATGCAATCTTGATGCCATCTTTCACATAAATATATCACACTCTAAACATTTTGAAAATCAGGTTTTTGAGAAGTGGAAAGAGGAGCATGACAGTAGCCTTAAAGACAGAGTAAGGCAAAAGAAACAGACTGAGAGAAGGTCAAAGAAAAAGAAGAGAGGAAGATCGACTCCATCTCTGCATTCGCTCAATGGTATGAAAGATACATTTTTAATTGTATACATAACACTAATTTATTCATTTGTTTTGTTAATTAGCACATGTTTAGTCATGCTCAAGTCACTCAAGCCATTATGTATTGCTTAAAATGTAAATGTGCTCGCTTTGTAAAGCCTCAGGTTACAGACTGACATTAATAACTGTGCTGTTGTGCAGAACTTGACTTTCCGTTAATTGCTTTACATATTACAGGAGTGACCAAAAGAAGGATGTTATTGAAGAGAAGATAAGGGCAGAACGCAGGAAGGAGAAGATAAAGGAAGTGGAGGAGAAATATGAAAAGGAGGAAAAAGAAAAAATGGCCTTGGAGATGTATGAGAAATGGCTGGTATGTTACAGCAAGTTTCTGCACAAGTTAATGAATAGACAACCTGCCTTGAAGTTTACATGCTATTTCTCAATCAAATGTATCAATCTGCTCTGTAAAAAAAGTTTTAGAAAATAATACGTATCCATGACATTGCTGTTTATGCTTAAGTTGTTCTTCTTAAGCTAAAAGATCAAACTAACTAAACCTGGCAAACGTCATTTGCCAATTAATTGTTTTCATTATACAGATTATTATTATTATAACAGATGCTTTGAGACCGAGACATACATGTTTTTAATCTGTTTTTAAAATACATTAGTTGTCAATGAACATACTGTGAACAAAATCTTTTGATTTTTTTCTTTAAGATTGATGTTGATTTTATATTGTCCTGGTCATTTTATTACAGAAAATAAAAGAGTTTCAACAAAAAAGAGAGAGAAAAGAAAAGAGGATACAGGCTATTCTTCAGGATGAGCCCCCTCCACCCTGGAGCCCACCTAATAAAACTATCCCATTTGGAAAATGAGCGTTATTTAATTTTTATTTTTAACCTGTTCTTTGACATTTGATATAACTACATTTCAGAAAGACTCAAACCATAAATAAATCAAAGTTCCCTTACCCTATAAAGCCTATACTGTATCATATTTGATATGCAAATTTATAAGGCCTTTAAATTTTCAACATGATAACAACCTTTACTGAAAAGCATGTTGTACACAATATTCTATGTGCCTTCTGTCATCTGATTAATAATTGTTATTTTTAAAGCAAGTTTAAGGCTTTTTACTATAATTCTAAAAATGTCCCCCTTTATCAGTATTCATAAGGTAAACATAAGAATAACTATTATATTGTTAGTAATATTTCAGTATGAACACTTACTGGACTGAAGTAACTTAGGTTTATTTGTTTGTCCATGCATCATTTATTATTTTTTAAATTTATCAGATATGATAGAACAGGCTTTTGAAGGCTTTTATTTGTAAAGCTCTCAGTCATTGTATTGCATTGCATTATATGTTTTGCCCCCACAATAAAAATGACAGAGCTTTAATTATAAAATCTACAAAACATTCAAATACCCTCTTACTAAGACATTTTTACTGGTAGATATAGAGTGGTAACTGATATGTACATGCATTTTATATAAGCAAATAGCTGTTGTTATAATTTGTAAATAATGTTATGATTTACATTATAGTACACCAACATTTCATCTTACTTTTTGGCCATATATAATTACAGTATCAGCAACTGCACAAAATTGCATATTTTTCCTCAGTTTGGGCATTTTAATAAAATGTAGGTGTTTTTTCTCCTCAACTATGAGGTCCATACTCTCCGATATCATACTATATGAGCCATAAAATTCTAAGATTCCATAAAAAAGTAATTAGTGTAAGACTTTTCTGAATATTATTTCATACAGTATGTCAGGCTTCACAGGATTAATGTAATGCAGTAAAACTACATGAGTTCTGTTAGTTAGTTCACCCAAAAATGAAAATTCTGTCATTAATTACTCACCCTCGTGTTGTTCCAAACCCGTAAGACCTTCGTTCATCTTCAGAACACAAATTAAGATATTTTTGATGAAATCTGAGAGCTCTGACCCTCCCATACACAGCAAGGTAACTACCACGTTCACGGTCCAGAAAAGTACCAAGATGATCGACAAAGTAGTCCATGTGACATCAGTGGTTCAACTGTAAAGTTACGAAGCTAAGAGAATACTTTTTTGAGCAAAGAAAACAAAAATAACGACTTTATTCCACATTTTCGTCTCTACTGCGTCACTTGTGGACGCGCATTCACGACAGTATCATGACGTGAGCGTGTGGCGGCGCTGACCCAGATCCGGCGTCATGACCTCATATTTCATCAAAAATATCTTAAATTGTGTTCCGAAGATGAACGAAGGTCTTACGGGTTTCGAACAACACGAGGGTGAGTAATTAATGACAGAATTTTCATTTTTGGGTGAACTAACCCTTTATGATGTCTTTACATTAGAAAAGCAATTTTAAGATATTTTTATAAATATCACAAAGTTGGTCATAAACATGGCAACTAAAATTCAATCAGTGCTGTCTATAGCATTGCATTATATGTTTAACAAATCCTTTGTTTAAAATAAATGCGTTAAATTATTTTTGTAATGTGCTCAATTGCTTTTTATTAACTTTTATAGAATTTGTTTACTTGTTGACAAAACATTCACAGTTTGGACCTTTTATTGTTTGTTCTGATGATAAACTTGGGTTATTTTTTCCTATAAAACATATCTTGTTCATCATCAGTGTCTTGTATTACTTCTCCAACTCCAGTTTTTCTGCCTTCTGAGTCATGCAGGGTCCTTATACTTTGCTTAAGTGATCTCTTATAGTCACCGAAGGTAATCACCTTCACAAATGGTGCTATAATGTTTCAACAACTCATGGGTTCATCTAGGAGCAAACCAGCACATTTGCCCTTCCAATCAACATCCAGCTATAGTAGATAGTATAGTATAATAAGCTTTATTTATCCCTGTAGAAAGGAACATTGCAATTTTGCAGCAGCAGCAAGGACCTTAAAGGAATAGTTCAAGCAAAAATGAAAATTTGCTCAGCCACAGGTCATCCAAGATTACTTTGTTTCTTCATCAGAACAGACTTGGAGAAATGTAGCATTACATCACTTACTCACCAGTGGATCCTCTGCAGTGAATGTGTGCCGTCAGAAAGAGTTGATGGAAAAAAAATCACCCAGTAAACCACTCCAGTCCACAGTCTTGTGAAATGAAAATGTTGATGTTTGTAAGAAACAATTCCATCATTAAGGAGTTTTAACTTTAAATTGTTGCTTCTGGCCTAAATACAAGTCCATAATAACATTTTCCTCCAGTGAAGACCATTACCTGTTTTTCTCTCACATCAAAATCCACCAACATTTTGGTTTGTTTTGGACTGTTTTCACATGTACACTGTGCTTAATATGTGTGTATATATCTCCAGATGAGATGGAAATTATGAAAATTATGAAAAGAGGACTCCGTTATGGAAAGACCAAAAGTTTGAAGTTAAAAACATCTTGTTAATGATAGATTTGTTTATTACAAACAGAGCTTTTCACTTCATGGGGTGTTATTTGATGGACTGCAGTTGTGTGGATTACTTGTGGATTATTGTGATGCTTATATCAGCTGTTTGGACTCTCTTTGACAGCACCCGTTCACTGCAGAGGATCCACTAGTGAGCAAGTAATGCAAGGCTAAATTTCTCTGAATTTGTTCTGATAAAGAAACAACATCATCTACATCTTGGATGGCCTAAGAGTTTTTCAGCAAATTTCATTTTGGGTGAGCTATTATTTTAACATTAGAGCAAAATTTGCCATCCACAGAGAAGTACTAGGAACTAATGTTAAGCTTATTCTTATTATTTAACCCATTGTTAAATAATTGTTAAATAGGTTAATAGGTTTATTATTAAACCTGTTTTTTTTTTTTTGTTTATTATGCGATAAGAGCAAATTAGGCCATACGGTGAACTAGGAAAAAGTGGCTAGAAAGTGATTTTCGTTTCCACACCTATAGGCACTACTTTTTCAATGCATTTTTGCATACACAATACACTTTTGGACTTTAGGTTAAAAGTTCTCCGCAAAATATCCTGCAGTTTTTTGTCACAATCCATAAATGTATATAAATGAATTGAAACAAAAAGAACAAAATCTTATGATGCAGGTTTTGCTTGTAACTTTATTTATATTCTCTCAAACTGACATTTATACATGTACCTAAATATCTGAGACCGGTATTGGTGCATTTGTATACTCAAGTGTGAATGCAGACCATGAAATATGGAAAATTCGTTCCACTTCCATTCGAACACTTCAACTTCACAGAATGTCACCAAGCATAATTAATGATACACATTGTAAATGTAACAAAACTGTGATGTTTTATACATGAAGATTTCAGTATATGCACTGTGTAATCACAGAAAGATAAAAAAAAAAAAAAAAGAAGTACAATTTGGCCCAAGTTGGCTGAATTTACTCAAAATGCTACCCCGTCCCCTTTAATTTTCAATAATGCCAAAAATGGACAACTCTACAACAGATTCATTACAGCTCAAAATCAGCCTAAAATATTACAGCGCATCTTTACTCATCAGTATCATTCCTATCACTCTCAGAGCTTCATCCCATGTATGCATTTCCTGCATTTTCGTATTTTTTAAGATATATGAAAACATTTTAACATAGTTGCTACTTGCTCATTCAGTTGATCAGCAGTTTCTAGCCATGCAGCTTTCTCTCTGATTTTATGACAGCTGTACCTTTTATGGTTATTAGTAGAACATTAAAACATTACAATCTAAAATTGCACTTTAAAGCATTAAAGCATTTAAAACTCTAAATTAAAAGTTGAAACCACTGAATTAAAAATGAAAATAAATAATAGAAATCAGACCACATTTTAACTGATAAGAGGAACACACATTTAACTCATTTGAGACAGCAGGGCTGTATTAGCCAGCTTACATTTGATTTACAGTTACTGCTATGATAAAAATACACTTATATGTAGTATTAAAATTCTACGTGTCACATTTAATGTCCAACAAAAAAATATTTGATCAGAATGCATATTTTTCCAAAATTATTGCGCTATTATTCTATTGCGTTCCATCTGTTTAGCATACCAGCAGGTACTGTCCATACCAGCAGGGCTGGTTCACTCACGTAAGCTAGTGATGGGAGAAACGAACCATTTCGAAGCTTCGAATCAATTGAACCAATTGCTTCGCAAAATGATTCACTGTTTCGAAGCGCTCGAAACACCACTCGCTGGTGACGCCTGCTGGTCAAAATTGTGTAAATGCAACAAAAACTCAGACCAAAACATGCATAAAAACAGCTTGTACAAACCCAATGAAAACGCTTTCTTGAAAGTATAATATATTAAATGCAATCAAAATAATAATATACCATTAAAAATGAAGTGTCTGTATAATAGGCCTATG